ATCATGGGAGAGACCCAGTGGGAGGTAATTGAATCATGGGGGTAGGTTTATCTTGGGCTGTTCTGATGATAGTGAATAAGTCTCATGAGATCTGATTTTTTTTTTTTTTTTTGAGACAGATTCTTGCTCTGTCACCCAGGCTGGAGTGCAGTTGCACAGTCTTGGCTCATTGCAACCTCCATCTCCTGGGTTCAAGCAATTCTTCTGTCTCAGCCTCCTGAGTAGCTGGAATTACAGGCACTCACCATTATGCCCAACTAAGTTTTATAATTTTAGTAGAGATGGAGTTTCACCATGTTGGACATGTTGGTTTTAAACTTCTGACCCCAGATGATGCGCCTGCCTTGGCCTCCCAAAGTGCTGGGATTACAGGCATGAGCCACTGTGCCTGGGAGATCTGATGGTTTTATAAAGGGCAGCTCCTCTTCATACATTCTCTTCCCTGTCACCATGTAAGATGTGCCTTTTCTTCTCCTTCACCTTCCACCATGATTGTGAGACCTCCCCAGCCATATGGAACTTGGTTTAATGACTCTATTAAACCTCTTTTCCTTCCTTCCTTCCTTCTTTCCTTCCTTCCTCCCTCCCTTCTTTCCTTCCTTCCTTCCTCCCTTCCTCCCTCCCTCCCTCCCTCTCTCCCTCCTTCCTTCCTTCCCTCACCCCCTCTTTCTCTTTCTTTTTTCTTTCTTTCTCTCTCTCTCTCTTTCTTTCTTTCTTTCTTCTTCAGCTGCAGAACCAGGCGTCCTCCTGGAGGAGGTGCCGTTTGCTCAGTTTTACAAACAGCAGCGGCCCTCGGTACTCCGGTAGTTCCACCTTGACTTTGGTCCTGCGGGCGGCAGCAGAGGCTCAGCCCGGGTGGGGCTTGGTTAAGGGGCGCTCGGCTAAGCCCTGCGCCCTCCAGGGACCACGTCCTTCCTAGCGGCGCGAAGGGAGGGAGGGAGAGAGAGAAAGAGGACTCGGTTCTGAGGGGACGGGGGCAGCAGGTAGAAGGGTTGCTCCTTCCTTCACTTTCTCTTCCCTGTGGTCATTGACTGTGCTAAGCCCTGGGCTGGGCGCTGGGAACCCGGAGCCATGCCCTGGACAAGCGCGCTGTGAAGCCGGGACGTGCTGGTAGCAATTCCCGCTGTGTGACCCCCTCCCCCGAGGCTGAGGGCCTGCAGGGGCCCCACTGGCTTGGGGACAGCCTTTCCGGAGACCTAGAGGTGGGGATGGCTCAGCCAGGAACAGTGAGAGGGTAGGCAGGGGAGAGGCGTGCCAGGCAGGGACGGAACAGAGGGGAAGGGAAGGCCAGCAGCATCGTGGAGCTGGAGCTCAGAGCCCAGGTGTGGGGGGTCAGCAGGTCGGGTGGCCCCAAGGGCTTTGGGTTTGGTCCCGAGAACATGCGGGAGCCATTCAAACGTGTTAAGCAGCAGGAGTGAATTAGGGAGAAATTCTTCTGGCTTCTGAAAGGCTTGGAAGGTCTGCAGCAGAGGTGGCGGGGCCTCTGGTGTGAAACAGCTTTTAAAATCGAGAAAGCAGGAGGACCGACAACTCCTCAGGCGACTGCAGAGTTTCCCGGCACGAGAGCTGTGTGGAATGAGAGTCGCTCAGGAGCGTCCCTCAACTCCAAGGAGATCGAGCAGCGGAAACATTTATTGAGCGTTTACTGTGTGTCACCAGCTGCCCACCCTAGGGAAGGAAGAAGGGAGGAAGGCGTGCGCCTTTCCACCTTCCGTCCTCCGTTCACTCACCGTGGAGTTGCGGGGCCACCTGCACCGTGCGCATTTTCTTTCTCCGAAGCTCGGAGCAAGGGCGTGGGGATGCGGGGAGCAGGGCTCAGCAGGTTCAAGGGGACGTGGGCGGGGCGGATATTGGGCAAGGAAGCGGGAGATGCTCAGGGTCTAGAACTGACTGGGCCGGATTCTTGTGTAGAGGGAGGTGAAGCGAGGGAGGAGACGCGGGTGACACCGGGGGAGGCAGCAGGAGAGGTCTGGGAGGTGGGAAGAGGGGCGGACCTCTCGGGCAAGTTTCCTTGAAGTTCCCTGGGACAGACATCTGGATTTGCGGAACTGGAAGAGAGTTAGACCAGTGATGGGAATTTGGGGTTGGTGGAAGAAAAAAAGTAACAGGACCCAGTAGAACTCCAGGTTGATATGATATATGATGGGATGTGGGTCGGGAAATCGGGAGTGTTCTCCTGTCTTGGCTTCCCATCCCTTCCCTCTCACCAGCCACTCCACCCCAGGCGATAAAGCCCAAAAAGTCGGAGATCCAACAGCGCTAGCGCTTGAAACGGCTTTTTAAAATAGAGAAATTGAGAGGACCGATGGCCGCTCCGGTGACCGCTGAGGTTACAGACAAGGGAGCTCTGTGCAACGAGGGACGCACAGGAGCATCGCCTCAATTCCAAGGAGACCGCTTAGTCAGGACATTTATTAAGCGCTTACTGTGTGCCACCTGCGTGTTTTCTGTCCAAAACACGCAGGAAGAAGGAATCAAAGCCTGGTACAGCAGGCCGGCGAGGTGGGGAAAGGAGTTACGATTGCTTGTACCACGGACTTTGGGGCAAGTCTGGATGGCTGGGAAGCCAACCTCCATCTAAAGGCAAGTGTGGGCTTGGGCGCGTGGGCGCGCGCGCACACACAAACAGGCCTCACAAGTTGGATTGCAGGAGAGGGTGTAGTAGGCAAGGAGATCCAGTCTGCTGTGGCGCTTGAGGAAGGTATATATAGACTACCGAATTCATTCCACTAGCTTTGCACATTAGTCTTGTGCCAGACGCTGGGACTCATTTCCCCCCTACACCACCCCCTTTTTTTCCTTTTTTTTTTTTTTTTTGAGACGGAATCTCGCTTCTTCTCCCAGGCTGGAGTGCAGTGGCGCGATCTCGGCTCACTGCAACCTCCACCTCCTGGGTTCAAGCAATTCTCCTGCCTCAGCCTCCCGAGTAGCTGGGATTACAGGAACGCGCCACCAAGCCCGGCTAGTTTTTGTATTTTAGTAGAGATGGGGTTTCACTATCTTGGCCAAGCTGGTCTCCTGGCCTCGTGACCCACCCGCTTCAGGCTCTCAAAGTGCTGGGATTACAGGCATGAGCCACCGCGCCGGCCGGGACTCACTCCATTTGAGGGTAAAACTCTGCCTCCCTGGGCTCCTGCCCCTCTGGCGTTCCCAACGTCGGGCACCGAATCCCATCCGTTTGGGAGCCAGCGTGCGCCGAGCCGGCCGGGCCAGGAATGGGCGGAGCCACCGCCCCCATATCCCACAATGCCCCGGGACAGGAAGAGGGAGCCGTGGTTTCCGGAACTTCTCCCGCCCCTCTGGGCTTTTGCTTTGTTGGGCTGGTGTTGTTTCAGCTTGTTATGGGCGCTGCGGTCGCTATGGAGACAGGTGAGTAGCTCTCTGAGCCTGGAGTCTTCGCAGATAGACCTCTCCTCAGCCCAGACCGCTTCTCCCGCTTCCCCGGGGCCTCCTTCCAGGCCTCACTCTTTGCAGGGTTAGTATGTGGACAGGGAGGAGACAAGGCTTTTGTAGCGTCTAGAAAGGCTAAGGTACTCTGCAGTTTTCCTAATTTGGTTTGTTTGCACATCTTTGCTAGTCATACACGACCCCACCAGCTCCCCGGCGTGGGCGACACTACGGGAGAGTTCTCTTAAAGCGTGTCCTCCTTGGGTCTTAAAGCGTGTCCTTGATTGGCTTTCTGCTTCTCACATGAGCTTGCATAAGTTTGAAATACTGTCGCCAGACTTGTGTATCATTCTGCTACTTGTGCTTCTTATATATTCATATGTTCCGTGATCTTTTAGGCTCTCTGCCGTCTCTTTTTCAGCTTGCATCCTAAGTTTTTCTTAACAGATTCAGCACGTAGCTTTTGGGAAACTTAATCACTGTTAACGATTGTTACAACGCATTATTAAAATAGGGGAAGCCACAGTTATTACAGCCTACCTTAGTGATCACTGTTAAAATTCCTGCAAAGTGGCCCACGAGTGGTAGGAATTCTGCCCCGTTTGTGTGGCTGTTTTCTTTGATGACTTCTTTTTAACTTTAGAGGTAACCCTCTTCCATGACTGTTTCTTAGGTCTCACCACAATCCTGATGTGCAGAAGTGGGGTGCTGCCCCAGTGGACCATGTTCTAGCTTTTCAAACTGCTAGAACTGTCAGTGTTTCTCAGCCTCGGCACTATTGACATTTTGGGACCAGTGGTTCTTCGTTGTTGGCAGAGGATGGGGTGTTGACCTGTGCACTGTAGGATGTGAGGTGGCATCCCTGGCCTCTACCCACCAGGTGCTAGTAGCACCTTCTGTGCACCGCCTCCCAACTTTTCCACCAAACTAAAATGTCTCTAGACGTTGCCATATATCGTCTGGGGGACCAAATCACACTTAGTTGAGAACTGCTGTCCCATATTCTACACACAGAAGCCAGAAGGATATTTTTAAAATGTAAATGGCATCATGTCATTCCCCTGTTGGAAACCCTCCAATATTTTTCTGTTGACCTTAGAATAAATCTCAAACTCCTTACTGTGGCTTAGAAGACCTTCTGTGGACGGGCCCCTGCTTGCTTTTAATCTCCTGTCTTCCATTCTGCTTCCGTGTATATATAATTGCCTGTCTCTCTTTCCAGCCACACTGGCCTTCTTTCTGTTCCTTGAACATTCAAAACTTGTTCCATCACCTTTTGTATTTGCTGTTCCTTCTGCCTAGAATGCACCCTTTCCAGATCACTGTTCACTCACATACATCTCAGATTAAATGTTACCTAATCAGCAAGGCCTTCCCTGACCATTTATCAAAAGAAACATCTTACTTCCATTCTCTATCACATTATCCATATATTTCCTTCATAGTGCCAATCACAGTAGAAAATTGTCTTGTTTCATCATTGCCTGTCTGCCTTTTCACCACTGTAAGCTCCACTAGAGATGGGTCTTTGCCTTTTTTACTGCTACAGTCCAAGTTCCCAGAATACAGACAGTTCCCAATGGTACAAAAGGGACATTCAGTAGAAATACTACTTTAAGTACCCATACAACCGTTGTTTCTCACTTTTAGTACAGTAAGCAATAAATTACATGAGATATTCAACATTTTATTATAAAATAGGCTTTCTGTTAGATGATTTTGCTCAACTTTAGGCTAATGTGTCCTGAGCATGTTTAAGGTAGGCTAGGCTAAGCTACGATATTTAGTAGGTTGTAGATAGTAAGTGCATTTTCAAATTACCATATTTTCTACTTACAATGGGTTTATTGGGAGGTAACTCCATCGTAAGTGGAGGAGCATCTGTAGTGCCTGGCACAGAGCAGGTACTCAGTAAATATGACTCTTGTCCATCTTCTTCAAACCTCAGGTCAGGTTTCAATGACCTCCTTTCACTTTCTCTTCTAAGATTATTTTTGCTTGCTGGTGGGTTTGCTGTCATTTTTAACTACATCTAACCTACATTTAAAAAGTGTGTGAATGGGGGTGCCAGGTAAAAGAAAACCATTTACTTTGAAACATAAACAAAGGCCAATTGGTAATTTATGAGTCTGTTGCCTTTCAAGCTTTTAGCAGGCATGGAATCATTCCACAGGTCATGATTTCAGTTTGGTCTCTGTTCCTAAGGGGTGAAGGTCATCTGAGGGCTCTGGATCCCAAACTCACCTGGCTCAGAGGCTCAAACAGCCTCTTTGTCCATCAACCCGATTTATATAGCATCCTGGGCCTGAAAACCTTTTGTGCTGACTTCAAGTGAATATAATTCACTGGTTCAAAAGCCGACTGGTCCAAGACGCCGTAGGATGGTCAAAAAACGTTGGCTGTGTTCAGGAACCGCAGCTTAGCTGTTTCTTACATTGATTTATGGGCTGTTTCCATGAAACCGAAAAAGATTGGCCCACCTGGCAGCTGGCTGGCTGGCAACTGGAGGCCTTTCTCTCCTGGCCGAAGGCCCTGGCCCCTTGGTGGCCTTTGGGAAGCAGCATCTCATCAGGCTGTTTTTTTCTCTCTGAGGGGCGGCCGGCCTGGCCCTCGGGGCCGGGCTCTCCGCGCGGTGCAGAGACGTCTCCACCCGCAGGGTCCCTGACGTGGCGGGAGGTCGTTTCCATGCGCTGCAAGGAGGCTTCCACGTGCCAGGAGGACGCCGCGAGGACGCCAGGGAGCCACCTTCTCGACGGGGAGAGGGAAGGCCCCTCGCTGCGGCCCTGTGAGGTCTCCCTCCATCCGGACGATGTCTCCACGCGGTGGGATGAGGTCTCCACGCGGACCGTGGACGTCTCTGCGTAGCGGGCGGTCCCCACCGGGGCGAAGACTGCTTGCCCCCTGGGCTGAAGCCATTCTGCCAGGCGTGAGGGGACCAGGGAGGCCTCTGGGCACCCCACACACCAACCGTCACCGCAGGCAGAAGAGAGGAAAACTACTGTACTACCACAGGGGGGAGCGCCACAACACGATGACGTGGAAGCACCATGGTCCTTCGAAGGCTAAAACACTGGGCTCCTGCCCCTCGGGCGTTCCCACGGCCCTGCCCCCGCCCCCTGGCTGTTCGGGAGCCAGCGGGGATAGAGCGGGGCGGGGATGGGCGGAGCCTCCTGGCCTCATATCCCACAATGCCCCGGGACCGGAAGAGGGAGCCGTGGTTTCCGGAACTTCTCTCGCCACTGGGCGTTTGCTCTGTCGGGCTGGTGGCGAGTTGGTGTCTCTTGGTTTGTTATGGCCGCCGCCGTCGCTATGGAGACAGGTGAGTAGCTCAGTGGAGTCTTGGCAGATGGAACTCTCCTAGGCCCAGACCGCTTCCCCCAGGCTTCCTTTCAGGCCTCACTCTGTAGGGTTCGTATTTGGACAGGGAGGAGAGGAGGCTCTTGTGGCATCTAGAAAGGCTAAGGTACTTTTCGTAGTTCTCCTAATTTGGTTTATTCCACATCTTTGCTACTCAAAAACCACCAGCTCCCCATTGTGGGCGAGATTAAGAGAGGACTTGTGTGTTAAACCGTGTCCTCCTTGGTTGGTTTTCTGCTTCTCACGAGCTTTCGTGTTTGAAATATCGTCGCTAGACTTCTGTATCATTCTGCTGCTGGTGCTTCTCACATATGCATACACTCCACGATCTTTTAGGCTCTCTGCAGTCTCTTTTTCGGCTTGCATCCTAAGTTTTTCTTAACGGATTCAGCACGTAGCTTTTGCGAAACTTAATCACTGTTAACAATGGTTACAACGCATTATTAAAATAGGGGAAGCCACAGTTAGTGCAGCTTACCTAAGTGATCACTTAAAATTCCTGCAAAGTGGCCCACGAGTTGGTAGGAATTCTGCTCCGTTTGTGTGGCTGTTTTCTTTGATGATTTCTCTTTAACTTTAGAGAAACTTCTAACTTAATCCTTTTAACCAAGGCTCCGCTTTTTCTTAGATTTCGAAGAAAGGTTTATCTCCATCCACTCCCAGTTTAGGAAGACCATCTCAATATTAGTCAGGTTTCTTTATTCTTTCCTTACCACAAATGAGTATTATATACAGTGACCTTTATTTTCGATGATTTTTGCTGTCTTGTCTCCTAGATGATGCTGGAAATCGACTTCGGTTTCAATTGGAATTGGAATTTGTGCAATGTTTAGCCAACCCAAATTACCTTAATTGTAAGTTGTTAAGCACCTCATTAAATTGAGTAGCTATTAATTTCTGACAGAAGAGTTGCAATTCAAAATAGTGTCTCCTTGTACACATTCTCAATGAAATGAAATTACACTTATGCTGGTGTATAGATGTAATTGTGCACATTGGGACTTGTGTTTTGAATCTGATGTGTGTTGGTGGTGGGAGTGTGATGTAAATAGATCCTTTATATTAGGGGTAACAAATCATAGTTTAAGAATTGGTTTGACCTACAGATTTTCTTTTTCTTTTCTTTTTTTTTTAATGCTTTTCAGTTCTTGCCCAAAGAGGTTACTTCAAAGACAAAGCTTTTGTTAATTATCTTAAATACTTGCTTTACTGGAAAGACCCAGAATATGCCAAGTATCTAAAGTAAGTTTAATTTTTATAATCCTAAGCATGTTTATACTTTATTATATAATAGATTTCTTAGTTTCACATTGGCAAAAATGTATTTTGACTCTCTCCACTTCTTTTAGTTGTTGCCACCTTAATACAAGACACCCTCATCTCCAACTTGTATCACTGCAGTAATCTATTCCCTGGTTATCTCTGCTTCCACTTTTACCTTCCTGCTCCCCTACCCCTCCCCAAAAACCAAACAAAGCAAAACAGCTTTCTACACAGAAGCCAAGTTAATCACTTAAAAATATAAATTAGAACACTTTACTTTTTTGCCTAGAACCTTTAATGGCTTTGCATTCCATGTGGAATAAAATCCAATCTCTCTTTTTTGGGCTAAACCCCTCTATGATCTGGCCCTCCTTTGTCTGACCTTGTCTTTTACCAACCTCCCCATCTCCCCAGGTTTCTGATCCCAAAGAACGCACAATCTGTAAAAGTAGTAACATAGCCATGGGCTGAAATTAGAACACAAAAAGAGGGTATCTGTAAGGAAGGTGTTTGGGGTTGTTTGGAGGAGTCTTACCTGAATCTTAGAACTGCTATCTTTTCTTTAAGGCCTGTTGTGTGCCAAGAACAGTGCTAAATACTTCACATGTATTTACTCATTTATGTGTATATGTATGTTTACCATTCAGGTTGTTTAGCAGATACTTTGCTGTTAAAGCTTACTAAGTTGCAAGAACCATATAACCAGAAAGCAATTCCCTTTTAATGGTAAAAAACAAAAAACTACATCTTGAACTCACACCCCTGCTTTGTCTTAAGCAGGTAGTTAGAAAGTAGTAGTGAACTTTTTTTTTTAAACAAAAATTTGAGAGGAAAATGTTTCAAACTTGTCTTTAAGTCACTTTTCTATATGCAGTAACAGTTGACTCATGAAGCATATACATCTTGTGTTGCCTGCAGGACCATTTGTATCTTTTCTGGCTTTTTATCCATTTAATAATCCAAAGAAAAGACTTTTAAAAAAGTATTTTTCAACAAATGTTGTATGTATGTAGATTTACAGACTCAGTGTTGGAAGCCTTAGCCACCAGTAAGTTTAATTTTATCCACAATGTTGCTGAGATCAGATGGTCATCTACACTCTGTTTGGAAGTTTCCATTGATCCCATGTTACTCTGTCAAGGGCAGCTGATTCGATTGTTAGCCAGAAGTTATAAAGTTCTTCCTTATATTGTGATATAATATACCACCTTGTAGCTTCAATCTGTTTGTCCCTGGATTAAGCTAGAACCATTCTATACCCTCTTGAGGACAACAGCTTTTTAGATATTTACATTCAAGAGAGATTGCAAATTAGCCCATTTTGGGCATTTTATTTAGTCTGCCCAAGATTTAATTTTTTTTTTTAATGCTTGGCAACATTTAAAGATCAGAAAGTTTTAATAAATGCAGATTTCCAGATACTCTTTAAAATCTGGAAGATCTAGCAGCCATAGATCTTAACTCTTCCAAGTCAACAACTGGCTGAAGCTGAGAGCAGCTGTCACTACTAGCTGCTTTCCACCTGGTGGAAGAGACTTTCTACCACTTGGCCTGCTTCATTGCTAACCAGTAGCTGCCACTGTAACATCTCTCTTATATATCTTTTTCTCAACTCCCTTCAGCCATTGTGCCATGGTGTCCAGACTTATGAGTTCAGGTTCCCTCCTTTGGATATTTGGCAGTTGTACCTTATGCAGTTCAGCCAAGAACTAAACACAGGCCTTCAGATGTGGTCAGAGTACAGTGGGCCAAAGGTCCTTTCTTTTCTGTATGTGGACATACACCTCTATTAATTAAACCCTTGTTTATATTACTTTTGGGGTGGGGGTGGGGAGAGGATCACATTGTTGACTTGCTGGGAGCATTAATGTCAACTAAAATCCTTCAGTTCTTATTTTCATCAATGCTGTTGAGTTCTCTCTGTTTATTTTTTAAAACACCAAATGCAGAACTTTCCTTTTCTACTGCTTCTGTTTCATCTTGTTGACTTGCAGCCTATCCAGAGTATGATTCTTTATTGTCATCTAATATATTCTGATACAAACACTGCCTGTCTAAATTCTAGTTATTGACCAAATGCTACTTGAGACCTCTCTTGGTTTTCACATTATTTTACAGCTGAAGAAACTGAACTTTAGAGAGGCTAAGTACCTTGTTAAAGGCTACCCGGCTAGAACTTACATCCTGGTCATTTTAACTACCCATGCTGTCATGAAAGGGAATTAGCCAGGGCAGGTGTGAATACAGCATTCTAGCATAAGCAGCCAGCAGTTAGAGCAACTGTGTATTTTTAGCGTGTAGATTGCAAACCTTTACTACCTTGGAAGTTACTCTCTTAGAAGCATGGTACTATAAGCCCTATTCAGTGTGGTGTTCAGATCAGCAGCATTGGTTCCATTTGGGAGCTTTTTAGAAATGCAGAGCTCAGATCCCACGGCAGACCTAAGGAGTCAGTCTGCATTTTAAGAAGTGATTCACACACACATTAAAGTCTGAGAAGCATTGCTCTAGCATCCTATTTTCCAAACTTTAGTCATTTGCATATCACTTCTACAACTTTGGCTTTATCTGCATACTTCCTATATTTCAATGTATTTTGTCTCTTTTAAATGCGTTTATGTCTTTTCAACTTGAAATAATTTCACTTACAAAATACCTGAAAAAATAATAAAGAGAATTCCTATATTTTTCTCACTCAGATATTCCAAATGTTTAACAATACAATCAGCAAAAATCAGAACATTAATATTATTACCCAATCTACAGAGGTCAGATTTTGCCAGTTGTCCTGCTGGTATGCTGTATGCAGTACAGGATCCAGTCTAGGCCTGCATATTGCATTTATTGTCTTGTTTTCTTAGTCTCCTTTAATCTCAGTGGTCTTTTCTTTGCCATGACTATAACAGAAATGATTTTGTATCTGTCATATATCTATAGTCACATGAAGTCTGTTTGTCCCACTGCTGGTGATATTAATTTTGATAACTTGGTTGAGGGTGGTACCTTCTAGGTTTCTCAGTATCAAGTTACTATTTTTCCTTGTATATTTAATAAGTATCTTATGGGGAAATCCCTTGAGACTATGTAAATATCATATTACATATACTTTTGCCCATTAATTTTAGCATCATTTGAAGATACTTGCTTTTGAAGAAACAGTTTTCATTGTGGTGATTTTCTAATTCTTTCATTCTCCATTTATTAGTTTGGAATTCGATTGTAGGGAAATACTTTTCCTTGTTTTTTATTTATTATTTTATTAAAGAAATTTACATCCATTTAGTATGGACTTTTGTATTATTATTTTTATTCTGTGAATTTTAATTATGTATTTTCTTGCTCTGAGTATTCCAGATTTGGCCATTAGGAATCCCTTCAAGTTGGCTCCTGAATACTTTTGATCCTCCCAAGAATTTTTAGCACTTTTTCTTCTGGCATTACATAATGTTCCAGGCTCATCTTGTCCTTTCCCTGTCTTATCCCTGAATCAGACTTTTCTCCAAGGAAACCTGCTCCTTGGAAACCGGGCACTGTGTGTTCATTAGTACCACAGTGTCATTGCTTCTAGGCCCTCTCAGTACACAAAGCTCAAGACCTCTATATATGTATGTATGTGTATACATGCACACACACATATATCTATGTCTCTATATATTAAAAGCCATAAGTACATGCTGTTTTCAATACCAGCTCAGTAACACAGGGTTCATTCTAGCCTTTTTCCTTTCCTTGTCTATAAATCCTTTTCTGATAGCTAGAAATTTGGCTCTCCGTATCCACAGTATATTTACTTGTCCAATCCTAGAGTATACCTAATTTCAGAATTGGTATACCCCTGTGGACAAGAGTACAATGTATATGCATAGTCCTCTTTCAAACTGAAAGTTGTCTTTTTATCACTATTGATGGAAAAACCAGTAACTATCAATTAAACACATAATTACTAAAGTATGTTCATGTTCACCTTGGAAGCCACTAGAAGGGAATAGCATGGTTTGTGCCTAAATTTTCACTCTGCTTACCAGTTACTGTGTTCTGTAGTCTTGAGCAAGTTAATCTTTCTGAACTTAAACCTTTTCACTTGAAAATTTTGCTGAACACTGACTTTTGATGACTATGCAGGGGAAAAACCCTATGCTACTAGAGTGTACTAAGTGAATGTTATAGAAATGGTAGGCTACAAGATCATTTTTAAGAGAATAACTGAATTAGACTTTGGCATTATTTACTTAAATTATGTTGTTCATTCACTTATAAACTTAAACCCAGGTACCCTCAGTGTTTACACATGTTAGAGCTGCTCCAATATGAACACTTCCGAAAGGAGCTGGTGAATGCCCAGTGTGCAAAATTTATTGATGAACAGCAGATTCTACACTGGCAGCACTATTCCCGGAAGCGGATGCGCCTTCAGCAAGCCTTGGCAGAGCAGCAACAGCAAAATAACACATCGGGAAAATGAAAAACTGGATACAGACGAGGCTCTGAAGATATATATATATATATATATATATGTGTGTGTGTGTGTGTGTGAAGACAAAAAAAATGAAAACCTCTCCTATCTAGCTTTATTATGGTAGCCCCTAGAAACTTTAGTGTGCTTTTTAATCCAACTAACTTTTTATTGTTAATAGACTATCACTGTTAAACCTGAAATGTTCTACTTTGATTTCCATATGGATTTTAAGATGTTTCTTTTTTAAGAATTTAGTATAATCGGCTGATTAAGAATGGAAAAGTTAGGTGCTTTAGACCAAATAAAGAAGGCACAGGGGCATGGGGAAGGGGTGAGCTACCAAGTATACTGAATTCTAAGGTTAGCTCTTCCGGACATATAGTAGGGCAAGGCTTCTCCTGGGACCTTACTGTGTCTCAGATCAACTACTCTACCACTCTTACCTATGTAGTGAGAGTAGCAGAGTCAGTGACCTCTTTAAATCACCGGAAAGAACTGCATAAAGGTTCTTAAATTCTGCAGGAAAGGAGATACCTGTATACCTGCTTTGCAAGATGGCTTTAAGAATCACTGTGGCCTCACTTGACCTAGTCATCGCAGGACAACTAGTGGTTAATTACTAATTGGTCTCTTGACTTTAGAACAAAGATGAGGAGCCTCAAATACTTGTGCTCACTTGGGAAAGCTAACACTGATTTGGGAGGTACCACAAACCAGGTGCTATGTTAAGTGCTTCCTTGAATTCTCAGAACCTTGTTTATAGAAGACAAAACTGAAGTTTAGACAGGGTGAGTAACTTAACTTACCTATGGTTACACAGCTAGTAAGTGGTAGAATCAGTGTGACTGACTCCCAGGTTGGAGTTCTTCCCACCACTAGGTTATATAGTCTCTCTAGCCCCTGTCACCTGCCTCATCCCAAGTAAAGCACATTGAGATAGCTGTAAAACGAACTGCCTATAGTGCTCAGGAGTCTGTTTTTTAATAAATGAAACAAAACTGCCTGAATTAGAAGCTGGATTAGAGGTACTGTGCTTCCCTTCAGTGGTGAGGTTAGGTTCTATATTCCAAAATCAAAGAAGGGGTTTCAGGAATATGAGTTGCTTTGCAGATGCATAGAATTTAAAAGATCCTGATCTTTTTAGAGATTTGGAAGGTGTCCTCTGTACCTTTAGGGGCTTTTAGGCATTTCTGTCACTTTCAATAATACATTCCTTTGAGCCTTTACTGCTACTTGTGAAGATATATTACAGGTAAACTAAAGGTTCATGGGTATTTTAATAGCAGTCTTGTTTACAGACACATGCCAGTTTTTTAAACATTTATTGCTAATATGAATTCAAAGCAAGTATACAGTTTATTGATACTAAAATCAGGAAATCAAGACATGATTGCCATCATAAAATCTTAATCTTCAGAGAACAACATTTCCACGAGGTTGGCCTGAAGACACTCAGATTCTACCAGTTTTTGAGGCTGTAAGAGAACAGTTAAATCTTAACTACTCCTATAAAACATTACTAGGAGTGGAATGAGTTCTGCATTGAATGACACTATCTTTGAAGACAGAAATTACGCAATTTAGAAACTATCAACTAGTTATAACAAGTTTTATGAAAGATATTTGCTGTAAGATTAATCACTAACATACTTGGCTCAAGGGACTTAAATCCCAAATGCCAGGAAGCACCACAGACTAAAAGAGGAGACAGCAAGCCCAGTACCCTCCTCTTCCCCTCAACTCTGTAATTTAGGATCCCAGGGGCATGACTGAAGTAGAGGAGGTGCCCCTTTTAACCAGAATTATGAATTACATAGAAAACAACTGTTGATGCATGTGTTTTAAGGAATTATCAGTCAGCCTACTTTCTGGTTATAGAATTTGATAACAGTGACTTACCATGAAAAAGACCTAATAGCTAGATATTTACATTATTAGTTTATTGGGATTGGCCATAGGAATGGACTCTCAGCAGCACTCTGAACCGCAGTGGAATTAAGATACAATGTCAAGATCTTTACAATGTTGGATCCAGAGCAAGTTAAAAGAGTTTTGAAGTGAATTACAGGCCCAGCATATTTAAGGATACTTACTGTTCCATACTTAAGTAGTGTAGGCACTGCTGTTACTTTCAAGTTTTTTCTGAAGTCATTATTTGGATCTTTCCAACTATTCCAAAAGAAAAAGTGATCATGAAAAAAATTTACTTGGTTTATTACAGTTTGCTTAATATTTGACATATCCCTATTTTTTTAGTAATCATTCTTCTTGCTGACACTTAAAAAAACCTTGAGGACTATGGCTTAATCTATTAATTACTCTGTGCAAAGTTTTAAAGCGTGACTAAGATATAAAAGTAAAGCCAGCTAAGTTCTGGGTTTACACCAGACCAAATTCGTTTAATTACCCTTACTTAATTCAGGTGGGCATTTTAAATTTGTATTTAATAGCTTCTAATTGTTTAACTTGTCAGACATAACCTTGTAACAGAAAAACTGGGTGAGTCCCTGAGGCCCTTCCCGCCTAAGTTTACAATTCGTGCATGTCTGTGAAGTCGAGTATACATTGCCACTTACTAAGGCTTGTCTCCTACTTGGCAGTAGATGAACACACATCCTTCACTAACGTGCTTCAGCCCCTCTCGTACGACTGGTTCAGCTTTAAAAAAAAAGTTGAGATAAACCCGTTAACTCTACAATCAAGCACTAATACACAGTGTTCCTTTCCCCTTCACCCAGTCTTGGTAAATACTCAGACTTTAACCTGCAGCTAACTGAAGAGGTCAACAGAAGTCAGGCGTTCACTTCTGGTCTTAGAACCACATTAAGGGCTCTAAGTCCAAATCCCAGTCCAAATTTGCCCCCGCACCACCGCGCCCATAACAATGGAAAGCACATGCATTTGCTGATCAACTCACGCATCCTGTAAGACACTAATAGTACTGGCTAAGTGAGAAGTTTTAAGGAACCAGATTCCAAGATCATCCGGGTAAAATGGTAAAAAGGAGAGCGCTCTTGGCAGAGCAGCTTAGGATTTTATAGGCGAAGACAGGGCCAGATCAGATTGCCCCGCGGATGCCTGGAATCAAGACACTCCGCCTCCACTAAGCCCCCTTTCTGGCCGTAGCCTCCACCTTCCTGCCGTTTTCGCTGTACAGGGGCCCCCGAATCCCGGCCTCACCCTGCACGCAGTCGGGGCACCAGCTTTTCCCTCCGGCGTCCTTAGAACCCGTAAAGTAGGCGAAAATGGTCTTTCCATTGTGCTGTTCCACGGCCCTGTTGAACTCCTCGAAGCCGGACACACTCACCTCCTCGTAGTGGGCCATCGGCACGACGTGGAACTGCGGCTAGAAGCGTGCACGTCTGGCCGCCGCGGGCGGGGCCCACTGGGCGGGGCGGGGCTGCTTCCGGGTGGGCAAGAGGGGGCGGGGCCTACGGAAGCCGGAGCCGCCGTAGAGTACGGAAACCTCTGAGGACCACAATGCACCCGCATGGCTTTCTGCTCTCGTTTCTCAGCTCTTTCTGGGCTAGCTGCACTCCCAAGCCCAGGCCTCTACCCCAATCTAGTTCCAGCCCCGGCCCCATGGACACTGGCTGCGAAACTTACCGCCCTGCAACACCTAAATCCTTGCGTAGTTCAGGAGCTTCAACAGCTCCCAAGCCGCCCTGCGCCTGTTGCTATGGCGACTGGGATGGCGGTCGGAAGCTCGGCCTAGTTGGGGGCCCCCTTGCCTGCCTCCCAGTAGCCGCGCCTCGCCCCAGGCCAGGTGGGCTCGGGCCGGGGCTAGGGGGGATTCTGGGAAGCTGCGTTGAGTCTTGAAGCTGGGGGAGAGGAGACCTGACCCAGACAGCCTTTGTCGCTTTGTACCCCCAATTACCTTTTCTGCCGCCTAGGCTTTAGGGGGGCCTGGGACTGGGGGCGGGTTCCCGAGCCTGGGCGGGGGTGGGATGGGTTGGGGGCTGGGAGGGAGAAAGCCTGCGAGGCGGGAGCTGAGTGTGTGAGTGCGTGTGTGGAGCAGCTTAGGGAGCGAGGTGCTAAGACTACCCCCAGGGCCGCCTTAGGGAGAGGGAACTGCCCTAGAGCTATGAGCCGGGCGACCGGCCGTGAGGCCTTGGCCAGGCTGCGCAGGGGCGAGCCAGCGGCAAAGATGCCAGGTCGCTGTGTGGGGCCCAGCAGGTCGGGGCGGGGTGTTCGGCGGCCGTGGGGGAAGAGACTGGGCACGGGGACCTCCCGAGGCCGTGGAGCAAGGCGCCGGGCGAGGTCCTCGGAGTGGGAGACGCGCTGTGTGAGTGCAGAAAGGCCGCGGGGCTGTCGGCGGCCTTGGGGGATGAGACGAGCTGCGGAGACCGACGACGCCACCGGGGCGAATGAGGTTTCGGGAGCTCCTGGGATCGCAGGCTCCATCGAGGCTGCAAGGGACCCTGGGGCTGTGTGGGTGAACGGAGCTGTGGAAGAGCCCGAGGTGGTGGGGCCTGCCGGGGCTGTGTGGGTGACCGGGTCTGGGGAGGAGGAGACCGAAGGTAGGAGTCCTCGGGGCTGCGAAAGAAAAGGTCGCCCGGGATCTCTGGGCCATGAGAGCATTCTTCACCTGTGGCTGAAGGTGCAGGCTATGAGAGCCGCCTCGGGATGTGGGGAAGGAAGTAGAGTCGAGCTCCATCCCGTTCCTGCAGGAGCGGGACCCGTCGAAAGGGGTGTTCTTGGCCGAGCTTCCTGGGTAGAGACAAGCCATGGCGGTCTTACTGGGCCCTGGGTGAAGGGACAGGCAAGGGGGTTCCCTCGGGCTCCATCAGGGCTTACAGCTCTGGGCTTAGGGGCAGCTTACAAAAGAGCCTTAGACTTCTGTGGGCAGAGACAGGCGGAAAGGGTGCCTCGTCCTGCGGGTGTGCCTGGGGCTCTGGAGTCAAGTTCTGAGATGGCCCCACATCTGTGGAGGGGACAAGCTGTGGGGGTTCCCGCGGCTGGGGAGGAGATAGGCTATGGGATTGCCCCAGGCCCTTGTGAAAAAGGACAGGCTGTGGGCGAGCCTGGGGCCGTGGAGTGGCCTGGTGCTGTGGGAGCGCCCAGAGCTGTGGAGGGTGAGCTCGGCTGCGGGGGTGCTGCCGGGCAATGGGGGAGAGAACGGTCTCCGCAGATTCCTGGGGCTCTGGCACATGAAGCAGTCTGTGGGGCCAGCCCTGGTGTATGGGGGAGGGGACAGGCTGTGAGGGTGCTCGACCCAGTGGTGGAGGAGCCTACCTCTGTGAGGGCCGCAGGTGTATGGCACAGGAGACAGGCTGTGGAGGAGACAGGCTCTGTGGGTATCCCCGGCCTGTGGGGCACAGGACACTCTGTCGGGGTGCCTTGTGCTACTGAAGACGAAACTAGATATGGAGGTGACCCAGGGTTCAGGTCAAGGGGACAGCCTATGTGGGTGGAGACAGGCTCTGGGGGTCACCCAGGGTCACGGGGAGCTGCACAGACTGCACAGCCATCATGTCCTGGGGAGCCGGCAGCAGGCCTGTGGGGGATAGAACAGGCTACAGGGATACCCACGGCCTTGGGGAAGGACATGGGCTGTGTGAGTGTCCCAGGGCTGTGGGGAGCGGGACAGCCGGTAGGGGTGCCCCAGGCTGTGGTGGTACCGGGAGCCCTGGGAGAAGAGCTGAGCCACAGCAGGGCCCTGGGCCTGTGGAATGGACAGCAAGCTCTGGGGCTGCCCCCAGCTGAGGCAGTGCCTGGGCTTGAAGAGGAGACCGATGGTAGGAATGTCCTGAGCCTGTGGGAAAGGAGGCAGGCTGTAGGGGAGCCAGAGAGTCTGGGGCCTTCAGCCTTAGGGATCCCTGGGTCTGTGGATCAGGAGGCTGACTGTGAAGATGTCTCATGCCTGTGTGGGAGGAGGCAGGCCGTGGGAGTATCTGAGACAATGGGCATACTCAGGGCGGCAGGTGGGACCCAGCACGGGTGTGCGGCAGCAGGGGTCCCCACGGTGATGAGTGCTCCAGGCTGTGGAAAGGTGCCTGCCAGAGTGCCGGCTGCTGTGTGGGCGTCTGGCCCTGTGTGTCAAGCAGGCAGCTCTAGAGACATTTTGAACCTGTGGGAAAGGGCTCAGGCTGCCAGGTTATCTGTGGCTTCAGGAGGGCCCGTGGCTCGGGAGGAGCTGTGGTCTGGCGGGGAGGATAGTGGTTCTGGGGCTTTCCCAGGCCCATGGGAAAGGAGACAGATTGTTGGGGTTCCTATGGTGCCTGAGGGGCCTGGACTTGGGGAAGAAACTGACCCTGGGTGTATCCCAAGACCTTGGGGACGGAGACAGAGAGTCAGGACCCCTGTTGCCACTGACGTGCTCCTGGCTCCTGGGATGCCTGGTCCTCTGGAGCTGGAGCCTGGCTCTGGAGGCTTCTCAGGCTTGTCGGGGAGGCAGCAAACTGCAGGAATGCCTGGGACTGTGGGGCTGTCTGCAGCTAGTGGGGTGCCTAGGCCTATGCAGGAGGAAACTGGCTCAGACTTGTGGGGAGAAAGAGAGACAGTAGGTGGTCCTGCAGATGCCAAGGGTTCCACAAGGATGGGGGTGCCCAACTCCATCAGGATGCCTGGGCCCACGGGGGAGAAGACTGGCTCTGGGGGCATCTCAGGCTTGTTGGGAGGCAGACAGACTACAGGAGTGTCCATGGCTGTGGGGCTGCTGGGGTCTGTGAGGGAGGGGACATTCTCTGAGCATGTCTCTGGCCTGTCTGGAAGCAGGCAGACTGCTGGGAGGCCTGTGGCTGCTAGAGGTTCCATGGCTGTTGGAGTGCCCACAGCTTCCGAGCTCCCTGGGCCAATGGTAGGGGATACCAGCTCTGGGGATGATGGCTCAAGCATATGGGAAAGGAGACTGGCCCCTGAGGGGCCTGCCACTGCCAGGGTTCCTGGACCTGTGGAGGGGGAGACAGGCTCTGAAAGTGTCTCAGGCCTGTGGAGAAGGAGACATGGTGGAGCCATTCCCGAGGCTGGGAGGGTGCCTCTGCCTCTGGGGGTGCTCGCAGCTGTAGGACCTCCCATGGCAGGGCGTGCACCCGCTGCAGTGTGGGTGACTGGGTCCTCAGGAGCAGAAGCAGATGGGGGTGTCTCAGGTCTGACCATGTGGAGACAGTCCACAGTGGGGACTTCAGAGGATGAGACAGGAGGTAGGAGCATTTTGAGACTGGCTGGGAGCAGCCAGGCTGTGGGGGCTTCTCACTGTGTCCCCGGGACCAAGTTATGGAGCTGTCCAAGGTCTATGGGGGAAGAAATGGCCTGTGAGAATGCTCTAGGCATGTCAGGGACAAGAACAGCTGTGGGGATACCCCCAGTTTCAAGAGAGGACATAGGCCTTGGCCATTTCAGAGACCTCCCACAGGCAAGTGGGAGGAGGCTGGCTGGAGGAGTGTCTGCAGTCAGAATGAGAGGGAGCAATTTGGGAGAGAGTTATGAGGAGGAGGCCAGATTGAGGGGGGTCTTCCGGTAGTGTGTGTAGGGAAGAAGTTGGGGTAGGCGTTCTGGGGCTCTGTGGGAGGGAGCAGGTTAGGGGGAGGTTTGTCATGGGTGATGAAAGCATAGGCTGTAGGCATCTCAGGATGGGGGAAGAGAGGTTTTCTGTGGAGATGCCCCAGGGTCTGTAGAGGGACAAATTGGGAAGTTTACTGGAGCAGTGGGAAAGGGAGCGTCCCAGAACTTTGTATAGGGGGACAGTTTCAGGGAGGGTGTCCCTGGACTCTGTGTGTGTGTGTGTGTGTGTGTGTGTGTGTGTGTGTGTGTATGTAGCATCACTTGAGGCATCCTGGAGCTAGGGATCGCCTAGTATTTTTCTAGTGGAGAATGGATTATTTGGCGTTTGGCACATGGAAGCAGCCAGGGGGAAAGAATTAACCATTTAAGAGTTGGAGATACCTGGGCCCCATTTCTGCAGACTTCCTTCTGCAGACTTCGCCCCCTACCTGTGATGACGTCAAGCCAGTTGGGATTGGCGTGCTCATGTGCCTCCTCCCATCTGCTTTTTTGATTGTGTGTCTACAGCCTTAGAAATAAGAACTCTTAGACAGCTGTCTTTATGTTCCTAAGATGTGCCTGTCTTTAAGCAAACCTAGTCTGCAAATTTTGGATTTATTCAAAAGCTTAAATTAGGGTGTTTTTTTTTTAACCTTGAATTTCCTGATTGATATACTATAGGATTATTTGAGAGAACAAATTACCCAGTGATTTACAACTAGTCAGTTTACAGAAAATCAGCTTAACTCGACACGTTAAGTTGTGTGCTATGCTCCAAACACTTTGTTATGGGAAATAGGAGAGCAAGGCAAGGCCCTTACCTCAAGGTGCTTTGCCTGGCTGGGAAGATGAGACATATACGTGAGAAATAGGTAAATAACAGCATGAGACAACACTACATGTGATAAGTATGTGAGTGGCAGTGATAATAAAGGCTATAGGCCTTCAGAGTAGGGCAAGGCAATTATAAGAGTAGAGCCCTTTACAGCTTACCAAATGCTTTCATATCTATTATGTTGTGTACATACGTGTAGGGCGGGGGAGAGACGGAGGGAAATGAAGATTGAGCAGGATCATTCAGCTCTCCAAATGGCAGATCCTGTCCTGAATCTAGGAATTGTGATCCTACAGGTTTCCTTAGAGTCATGGACAGTTACATGCGTTTGGGCCACCCGATAGAGTGAAGCATACTCTTTTTCACTAGTGTTAAGATCTGTGAACGTAGACCCCATGTCCATAAAGCCACCCTGCTGGAACATGCTAGTTTACCAGGACAAAGCTCTATTTTGGGAATAATGTCTTATTGGAGACCTTTGAGATTTGAAATTTAGAATGGAAAGGGCCCAAGAGATTATTTTTAAAATAGTAAGTGTTGCCCTATTGTTTTTAAATCGGGAACTTCCAAAGTGTGGTTGCTTTTGTAAATGGAAGAAACTGTCATTTACCTGTTTTTAAGCAATCACTCTCAGTGTGAGGTTGCTGTTGGCTATTTCTAGTATATTGTTACGTGAGCATGGCATTGTGTTTTATTTATTCTTTCCCCCTGTTTGAATGCTGTTGGTCTGAAGTAGCTTTGTTTGGTTTTAGGAATGGTTTTAGGGAAGACTATTGCTTGATGACAAGGCTGTCACTATTGTTCTGTAACCTGACATGATGGGACCAGGCCAGCCAGCTTCAACCTGTGTTCATCTGGCATCTAGGACCCAAGATGGGAGAAGCAACCCCACAGTACTTCAGACCCAGGTAGTTCTGTTTTTACCTGTGATTTTTATTATGAAATATTTCAAACATAAAATTTGAAGGAAAAGGACAACACTTCTTTGAAATCACCTCCTAGATTCAGCAATTGCTAACAATTTTTCCTGTTTTTCTACCTACTCAAACATGTGTCTAAAATTTTTGCAGAATCACCCCAAAGTAAGTTGTAGTCATTATGACACTTCTAAATATTTGAGAATACCTCTCCTAAAAATAAACTCTCCTACTTAATCATAATATTATTCTCATACCTAAGGAAATGGACAAAAAAAATCCCGTTACCCAGTAACTAGTCTTTATTCAGCTTTACTCAGTTGTCTCAAAAGTGTCTTTTCTCCTAGCATTATGAAAATCTTAAAAAATACGGCAAAGTTGAATTTTACAGTGAGCACATAGATTCCATTGTATTTCACTATATTTGTTTCACTGCATATCTATCACTCAGTCATCCCTCTAGAGATCCATCCATCAATCCATCTTATATTTTGACACATTTCAAAGTCAATTACAGACTTGAGTACCCTACTTCCGCATGCATATTGTACATTCAAATTCACGGTTTACTGTTTTTTCTTTCAATATACATTTTACATCAGAAATGATGAATACATTGCAGTGTGTACATCTTTTCACATTCGATGAGTTTTGACAAACTCATACACCTGTATAACCCATAGTTCTATCAAGATATAGATATTTAATATCCCAGAACGTTCTCTTAATGCCCCTTCTTAGTCAATGCCCACTCCTCCCCTCCAGAGACAGCCACCAGTCTTATTTTTTCCATCACAGAGTAGTTTTCTCTGATCTTGAACTTTATATAAATGGGATCATCTAACTTTTTGGTATTAAGACTTAGTTCACTAGCTGTAAAGTTTTTGAGATCTATCCATGTTATTGTATGTATCAGTAGTTTGTTCCTTTTTAATCCTTTTTACCTGTTCCATAGTATGAGTATACCACAGTTTATGTATTCATTCTCCAATTGATGGACACCTGGGCGGGATTATTATAAATAAAGCTGCTATGAACATTCTTATACAGATCCTTTTATGAACATGATTTCATTTCTCTTGGGTAAATACCTAACAGTGAAATTGGTGGGTCATGGGGTAGGTGTATAATTAGTTTTACAACAATCCACTGGACTTTTTGCAAAGTAGTGGTACCATTTTACATTCTTGCTGACAGTGTATGAGAGCTCCAGTTGCTCCATGTCTTTGCCAACACTTGTCTTTTTAGTCATTGGTGGGTGTGTAGTAGCATCGTGGTGTACAAAGAAATTTTTTTGTAAATTTTGACATAATTTTAGATGGACAGAAAAGTTCCAAGAATAGTACACAGAATTCCTGGATAC